AAAAAAAAAAAAAAAAAATCTGTTATAATCAAACTAAATTTGTTCCTATTAGGATATGAAGATAACAACTTAGTACTAGATATGACTGAAGTGACATTTATCGATTTAAGCTTTGTAATAAATTTGTAACCAATTTTGGTATTTAAAGAGAAATTGCAACAAAATTTTTAATTAAAGAACTCAAAATTGCTAATTATCAAAATCCATCTCAAATACATAAGTTTGAGAATTTCAGACAGTCAAATGACTGAAATTTGTAACAAAATATTAAATTACAAAACTTAAATTATTATATAGGGGGATTCAAACTTCTTAAATAAAAAAAATAATATTAATATGCATTGCGTTTTTTGTGTTTCTCTTACCATTGGTTTTCTTTCATCTCTAGTGTAACCTCAACTTGTTTGAGACTAAAAGACTATATTGTTATTGTTGTAATATTAATATGCATTATGCTTCTAACGTGTATATATATTTATAATTTATTATCAACAGGCCGGTCTGCAACCTGGCAAAAGCTAGCCCACATCATGTCGGGGCAGGCAGGGCAAGCCTGCAAATACTTAGGTGTGCCCTAGCACACCTTGCTAGGTGTGCCAGGGCCTTTTGTGAAATACAGCTCCCCCAAAAGCGCGTGAGGTAAGGAAGTAAATGGGACATTTCTATTGGATAATGAAATTCATATATCATATTATATAAATTAAATTATCATTCATATTTTGTATCAAAAAATAAAAATAAAAATACCAAAATTCATAATTTTTCATTCTCTACAAATAGAGACCACATTTGATATTTTTTGGAACACAATTAATTTATCATTTCTTACACTTAATTTATCTTATTGGAAGATTATGACATAAATCTATAATTAGATGAATATGTGACATAGTAAGATGAACATGTTATAGAGTAAGATGAACATGTCATATAATAAGATGAAAATGTTACATTTTCACAGATGAAATTTAGATGAACATGTTCTAAAATAAGATGAACGTGTTACATAATAAAATGAACATATTATAGAATAAGATGAACATGTTACATAATAAAATGAACATGTTATAGAATAAGATGAACATGTTACATACACAATAAGGTGAACATGTTACATAATAAAATTAAATTGTTATAGAATAAGATGAACATGTTACATAATAAAATGAACATGTTAAGAATAAGATGAACATGTTACATACACAATAAGGTGAACATGTTACGTAATAAAATGAACATGTTAAGAATAAGATGAACATGTTACATAATATAAATGAACATGTTATAGAATAAGATGAACATGTTACATAATAAAATGAACATGTTATATTATGTATTATTTCAATCTGTAACATGTTCATCATATTTGAAAACATATTTATTTTATTATGTAACATGTTCATTATATGTCAGTATAATAAAATAATTACGAAAAAACGAAAAATTAGTTGTGTTCAAAAACCTATCAAATGTGGTCTCTATTTATAGATAATGAAAAATTATGAATTTTGGTATTTTTATTTTATTTTTTTATATAAATAATTAATGATATTTTAATTTATGTAATATGTCTTATTTTTCAATTAAAAAATAAAAAATAAGAATGTGCACTACACTCTCCAAATTTTCTTACTTTTGGGATGAGGGAAGCGCGTGAAAAACTGCCCTAGCACACCTAGCTAGGTGTGCCAGGGCACACGGTAGTGCTACTGGGGCAGGCGAGGCCGAGCCATCATATTATGAGCTAACGTCCACACTCGTGAGCGTGTGATTGGACAATATCGAATTACCCAAACTACCCATAACACAATCAACTTCAATATTTCATTATGAGAAAGAAAACATTGCGATACAAAATAGTAAATACAGGAATCAAAGCAACAACCAAACCCAATTGAAGGAAAATGAGAGATAGATAGTAAAAGGAAAAAAAAGAGACAAATTATGTAACAGATTAATCCCAACTAATTAACAACAGAACAAACCCTTCTGATTTGGCCAGCAGTCCCCGTGAGCACCCCGATTTTTCCCATCTTCACCATTGACTCGGCAAAATCTGCGAAGAAACTCGGGTCACCAGACGACGTCATGTGCTGCTGCACGTACGCCCTCGTCTCGGCGTTCTTCAGAAGCTCAGCATCCGTCGTGAAAAGCCCCCTTCTCTTCTTCACTAACGAGAAATAGTCCGTGTCGAAGTGGATGAAGCTGCCGGGGTCCATCTGTACTATGGTGGTCGTGTCCGTAGGGGAGCACCGCTTCTTGAGTGCCGCCACGTAGTTCGGGTCCATGCTCGGGTCCGCGTCGTTCCTTCCAGTGAAGTTGTACAGTCGGATCGAGAAGCTCGAGCAGTGCGAAACCCCGATCGTGTGTCCACCTGAGAGGACAACTAGGTCCTTGACGCTTAAACCCTTGCCCGCGAAATTGGAAATGAGTTGGCTGATATTGAAGAATGGAGGTGGAAGATTCGCTAGCACCTCATTCGCAATCGATACGGTTCCATCTCGTCGGCCCAATGGAACTTCCCAAAATGGTCCCTTTATCTGTAACAACAAAATCAATATGGACTTTTTGATGACTAAAATAAAATGACTAGAATATATTCAGTAGTTTTTTTTAAGCTTATATATGAAGCCTTGTACTTTTTTTTTTTTTTGCGTGATCATCTAATAAGTTTATGTATTGTTTTCTTAAGAATAAATATTTAGTAATCACCTGTGAAACTGCGTCACGGGCCACTAATGCCAGGATATCGGCGCAAGAAACTTTTCCGGGGCAATACTTCTCGACTGCAGATTTTGCGGCATCAACGACTTGAAACCCTCTAAGGCTAAGGTTCGGAAATGAGTCCCTCTCGGCCGTGTTGTTGGCCGTAGAGTTTATAAGTACGGATCCATCACAACCCTGCCACAATAGATATATATAGTTACAAGTTATTTAGTTGGTTAAAGATTTACTATACTGCCAAAAAAAGAAAAATTGGAGATTTAGCGGCGAAAGCGTTGTCTTTACAAAACACCATATAACTATAAAAAAAAAAATGACTTTTGGTCCTTCCATTGGCAAAAGCCAGTCCTAGTGACCAGTTGTTGACGTGGATAATATTTATCATTTTTTGTTTTTTGGGTACACATGGTAGCCGACTAACATATCCAACTCAACAACCGGCCAAATTGATCGACTTTTACCGGTGGAAGAACTAAGTCAGACTTATTTACAGTTACAAGGGATTTTGTAAAATCAACTCAACTGCCAGACTGTTTTTTTAATTGGTGTACGTCATGGCTAAATCTCGAATTTTTCCACAAAAACACAACAGGGAAAAAACTAAGAAAAGGCTTACCCTAACAAAACAATCATGGAAATGCATCCTAAGTAAAGCCGGCGCAAGTGATGGCGCTCGAGAAATGTATCTTGCGGTCGTTTTTTTCACGATAGCCCCAACATTTGGACACGTCTTGTAGTAGAATTTGGTCGACAGGCCTTGGGCCGCGGCCCGATGAACTAAAGCGATCACGAGTAAGCATAGAACAAAGAACTTTTGAGTTGCCATAATATTGTCAACTAATCACTTCACAAAACAGATGAATTGTTTAATTTGAGCTTGTGTCATTCTGGGGAGATGATAGACTCTTTAAATAGTGAGTTGGTTTCTTGCACGAGTTGAGCTCTCTAGGGAATATTTGTGTTTTGCAAATGATTATTGGGTTGACTTTACATAATTAAATCCCCTGCTTGGAATATTTATTGATTGTTGTCTATGCTTAGTTTGGTACGCATTATGCATTGTTAATTTTTACGAATAGATGATTGGGTATCACTAAACATAAACAACGTTAAACGCGTGAAAAGACTAATAAATTAATAAATTATCACCATAATTTTTTTTTTTGGTAGCCAGCCACAGTATCCGGAGCTATGCCCTAACTAATCCGTTGGTCGACCTGGGTCACACACCTAGCAGTGGTGGGTGAGTCTCCCAACAAGGTTTTTCTGCATCCACAACAACTCGAACCCGAGACTTTGCTTAAGTGACATCAAACAATTTACCACTTGAGCCAACCCCTATTGGTAATAATATTTGTGACGAATTATTATTCGCATGCCGGCCAGGGTGCATGGATGTTAGTTATCGGGAAAAGTATAAAAATTGACCAGAGGAAGTATAAAAAATATTATTATTCCAAATTCAACCAAACTAACCAATAACAGTTTAGTATTAAAAAAAAAAAAAAAACACTTGATCAATTTCAGAGAAAAATAAAAAATTGATCAGAAATTTAATAAGGCAAACATGCATGACTTGTCGAGGGATTAAGAAGACATACACACATCTCGTTGAATGTAGAGCTTGGATTACTTGATTTGAGCCGGAAGGGTGGTAAGTACGTCGGAAATATGAAAGTATTGAATCGCTTAGTTTTGCATAGAGCGGAAACGGTGAAATGGGAGAGTGATGTGCCCTAAGCGCACTTGGATAGTTCAGATCAAAGGTCGGCGACTTCAGCCGCTTGTGTTTGGGCCCGTATGCTTGATTCTGAGCTGAAGTTTGGTTTTGGAACAGAGCTCCCTCCGCTTGACTTAGGTCGAATAGTTTGAGAAGGTATAGAGTTCTTATTGGGTAGCAATGTATTCTTGGGCAACAAAGTAATCATTCTCATACAATGGGCTATTATTAGAGGATTTTTGGTACATTCTGATAATATTTCACCATACACGTCATATTGGAGAGGCCGACTTGATCGTCGAAATATCTATGCCGAGAATCATTCTGACGTTGTTTTAGGTACTCCAGTAGAGAAGGCCAAAGAAGATTTGGAGATCCTAAGAAGGCCGGTTACCGAGTTATTTGGTAGATCCCTATCACACACTAAATTTTGTACAATATAAATTGAAATAGAAAATGGAAAGCTCGTTATTCAACAGTACAACATGAATTATACATCCATCTTGCATTTATTCTTTTATACTCCCATAGGCCTAGCATTGACCAGGCAAAAGCACTGGCAGCCAGCGTCCATTGAAGACATGGGCACATATATATGTGATGTGATAGAGAAAAATAAAACATGTTTGGTGATGATTTAGTCATTATCAGAATCATCACCTTCACGAGCTGTTGTATTAGTGAAACTCAATCATTTATCCCTAAAACTTAATCATACAAACATACCAAACCAATAATAGATTAATTATAACAACAATATAACTGCAAGCTGAGATGTAATTTTCAAAAGTCAATATCCAACCAATTTGCAAAGCACAAATATTAATTAATTAACAATATTAATATGGCAGCTCAGAAGCTATTTGTTCTCTGCTTATTCGCGCTCGTTTTTGTTCATAGGGCTGCGGCCCAAGGCCTGTCGACCAATTTCTACGACACAACATGTCCAAATGTTGGTGCTATCGTGAAACAAACGACCGCAAGATTCATTTCCCGAGCGCCATCACTTGCACCGGCTTTGCTTAGGATGCATTTCCATGACTGCTTTGTTAGGTTAAGCCTTTCTTAGTTTTTTCCCTGTTGTGTTTTTTGTGAAAAAATTGGAGATTTAGTCCTGACACCAAATTAAAAAATAGTCCACTAGTTGAGTTGGATATGTTAGTCGGCGGCCACGTGTAAAAAAAAATAAAAAATATTATCCACATCAACAACTGTGGTCACAGGGACTGGTTTTTGTTGGTGGAATGACCAGAAGTCAAATTTTTTTTTTTTTTTTTGTTACAGAGTGTTTTGTAAAGTCAACTCTATCGCTAAAAAGCCCCATAGAGCCCACACAAGTGGGAAAATGGGAAGAACCCAAAAAGGGAACCTTAGACAAAAAAAAAAAAGGTATATATATTTGAGAATTAAATTCGAAGACTTGAATGACTAAAATTTATCTTTGCATGATCTCAAGAATTCAAAAGCCCACGATCAACGCGTGCTAGTCTATTTTGTCGACCCAAGGTCCTTTAGTTTTGACTTTCGAGACTAATTAGTTTGGGCCCACAACACGAGAAGAGGGAGAAACACCCGAATTATTTAATGGCTTGCCAACATAGTTCGCTACTATTCCTGAGATGCGATGAATCTACATCAAAGTTCAAATGTATATACCAAAAAAAATATTAATTAATATCAAGTAATTAAACTAGAATTATAAAAAATAGGTGAATGCATATATATATATATATATATATATATATATGTTTTACCTCTTCACGTAAACGTGCATTCTCGACTAGTAAATGTCGCTCATCCAACGTCACCTCTCCAATTGAAGCCATGCGGCCGCAAGTAGAGCAAGTTGCATTGCTAAGGGCGTCTCTATACATTGCGTTTTCCACACGAAGCTTTTCATTCTCCGCTTTAAAGTTTGTGTTTTGATAACGTGCGTGTTTCGCCTGTGAATAGTAAAGGAAGATCGCGAAACATATTACGTAGAATTTTAAGGATATAGAAAAAAAAAAGAAAAAGAAAAAGCTAAGCGGAAAAAAAATATCGCATTAATTTTCACCTTCATTTGAGTGCGTTTATTCTGAAACCAGAACTTAACTTGTGAGGGAGCCATTCCCAATTCCCGGCTTAGCTCGGTTCTTTGCTTGTAGCCCGGGTGAGGGCGGTCCATGAAGAAACTGTAGTCAAAAACCCATTTGATATCAAGATTTAGTATTATTAGTAAATAAAAGCAAATTAAAGCTGTTTAAACAAGAAAGTTATATACATCTCATACTTGGAATTCACTTTTGTATATATAAAACTTAAATGAAAATTGCAATGAGTCGAAAAAAGAAGGTTACTTTTCCATGGCTTGGATTTGTTGCGGCGTATGACGGTGGCAACGCTTTCTTTTGAGCTTATTCTCCGAAGAATTAAGTTCTACCTCACCATTTTCAGATATGTTTGAGCTCATATTTGAGTAACAATAAGCACATGGAGAAAATAAAGCAGAGCACATAATTTATAGAAAAATGATGTAGAGAGATGGTGCAATTACATTAAATAGAAATGTGCGACCATTGTCATCTGGAAAGCTCCAAGGAAAGCATATTAGGCTTGAAGGAATAATGAAACTTATCCATTGAATTTTGAGTTCATGGTGCTACCTATGATTAACTAAGAAAATCACCTCATAATAATTCGTTCGCCTTTTTATTTAAGAAAATAAGACTATATGACAATACTATCATGTTAGTCACGCTTTCAAAGTGGAAAATTTTCATTACAGAATCACAGGTTAGTGTTTAAATGCGTAAGGAGAAAATTGTATGAGATCAGATTCTCGAAAGCTATTATAGCATGAACAATTTACACCTAACCGTTATAAATTTGTTGAAGTTTTAATACCATAACTTGTGGAATACAGAGTTGGACATGTTCTTAATATTTATAGCTTGATTAATCATGAGGTCTGCATACGACCGATTTATATGTTCATATTAGTTGTACGATTAATGGATGTATCAATACTAACTGTTAATATCAGAGATAGATTGGCAAGGCATTTCACAGCAAGCTTAATAATGGACTATTAATAAAGAATATATTCCAGTAGTGTTTTGATTGATAAAATGCAATGTCTCCATCGAAACAAATGCAGGAATACATCATTTATACTGAGAGGAAGAAGAATAGAGATAATACTAAAAGGCCCCTTAAGTTGTCCAATGGTAACAAAGCAACGGAAATATAACTAACTGTGTGGGGGCAGATCTTTTTAAGCAACTGGCAGCACTCTCAGCCGCTAACGTAAAATCCTCAAAAACTTTTAAGCCCTCTTTTTCCTGTGTGGGACAGATCTTTTCCCGACTGCTGCATTCTTGCCCGAATTAGCCAGCAGTCCACGCAACAAAGCTAGAAGGGCACACCCCAAAAACGGGTAGTACATCATTAGCAGCTGGTCAGATGCTCGGTTGGACAATGAGAGCTCAGCTAATATGGCAACCTGAACACAAAACAAATCAAGTAGTAAAATACCAAGAAGAGATTTTTGCAGAGTGAACAGGAAATGACGAGTATTTTCAGTTCGTGAAGATACTATGCATATCACAGCTATTTCTTCAAACTACTAAGATAAATAATTGCCTCGTGAATCTTCAATTTTTTAGGGTTATTTACATAAAAATCTTTCTTAAGTTCCAATCATACTGGAAATTGCCAAGATATGCTTGTTTAAAATTTCCAATCATACTGGAAATCTTTCTTTAAAATTAAAGGTCAAGACCTTTAGAAAAGCAAATTGCCAATGATCATGGACTGTCAGAAATTCGCTTTCTTTGTTACATCCCTCGTCACAATATCGAGAGATATGCTTGTTTTGGGTTCATAAACTGCAGACTGGGATTGAGACTTGAGATTCATGTTTGCAATGAGGCGCAAAAGTATTCAAAAGGGTGGTTTCGAGGCGGGTGTACTGGGCTTGAGCTTAAAAATTCACGCTTGTATTGAGACACAGAAGTCAAATTCCCAATCATACCAACCTATAAAGGCAAATTACAGACACAAACTAACATCTATGCATGAAGTAACATATTCTGTTTGGACTGATCACAAGAGACTGCATCTAGTGGGCAGTGGTATTATGTGACATAACATGGATACTCTTTCCACACTTGAATCGTGGCACAGCTAATATTGAGCTAGTCGTGTAAATTCGAACAATCAAGCAGTTATTTCATTTGACACTTAATATACACTTAATACAAACTGATTTCAAGATCAAGCGCGCCAAGACGATGATCTTCGCAAATCATGAAGAAACTACATAAAAGCACAACATTAAGCCACGGAAGGTTCATAGTATTGCATCTTTTTTTTTTTTTTTTTTTCAGTTTTCTCCAAAAAAAATACTCACAATTCACAAGCCACATCTATATAAAAACAAAAGGAAGGGCCTTTACCATGGAAGTCAAAGTGGAAGCCCCATACAATAAACAGGCGGTGCCCAGCCAAGATTTCCCTGCAACAATTCCATAGACACTGGCGACGGCGAGAGGCCACTGGAAAATAAGCTCGAGCCAAACAATCCCAATGAAGAAATGCGGCTTCTCGGCGACCAGGTAGTCTCCGTACTCCTGTGCGTACGACCTCTTGAGCTCCAACAGGAACGGCGGAAAGAGGTGCTCCGGGAGGCACGTCTGGCCATCGATGAGCGGCGCCACGACGGCGATGAAGAGAAAGAAGACGAAGAGGGCGGCGTCGACCAGCTTGCAGAGGGCACCCATTATCTTTTTCTCACGTGGGGTGAACGATTTTGGGCTGTGGGCCTTGAGAAACTTAACAGTATATCAATGGCGATAATATTCAGGTTTTCCTGTCTTCTGATGTTAGCTCACTGAAAGGGGATCTGAGGATGTTGACCGTTTTGAATGTCACAACGGGTCTTCCGGAAATTTGTGTTACTAGTTTTACTCTTTCTTTTCTATGATTTATTATTATTAGGGTTAATTGCTTTAAAAACCTCAACCTTTTTGCGTTTGACATTTTATCCCAAACTTTGGATAAATGCAATATAATACTGACCTTTGTTTACTTATTGCAAAATGGACTTTAGATCGGTCGGAGCTTCAAAACCCGCCAGCGTGTCCGGCAGCTTAAGTCGACGTGGAATTACCCATTTGCTGCGTGGATATAAGTTAATTAGGTGGAAAATTCTCATTTCTGCGTGGCATGGGTATAAAAACGGGTCCCCGTCACTCCCAAACACCCGAATTTCCAATCCCTAAATCGATCCCCAATTTGAATCCCTCAAAATCTCTCTGCACTTCTCCCTTAATTTACAACCCGTCACTTTCTGTAATTTGGGTGAAGATGTCGTCTTCATCTCAAGCAAGCCAGAGTTCCGGAAGAAGCTTTCCCGCAAAGAAGGTCTGTCGTCACATTGAGGAAGCTGACGTCTTAACCTCCATGACATTTGACAATCCTTGCAGGCGATTCTACAGGTGTCCGAACAGAAAGGTGATGTCTAATTTTAATTTCTCGATTTTACAATCTTAGAACCCTAATTTATTAAAAAAAACTCAATTTCTATAAACCCTAATATTTTTTATTCTAATCTAGAGGGGATGACATCGGTTTCATCGAACTTCTCGATTTTACTCAATTTCTTCAAAAACCCTAATTTTTCAAAAACCCCAATTTCTCTAAACCCTAATTTTTCAAAATCCCCAATTTCTATAAACCCTAATTTTCTGATTTTTCAATGCAGCAAGGGGAATGACTCCGGTTTCATTGAACTTCTCGATTTTAGTCAATTTCTTAAAAAAAACCCTAATTTTTCAAAAAACCCCAATTTCTATAACCCATATTTTTTCAATTTGAAATGTTTAGCACGGGGATGACTGCAAATTCTTCGAGTGGATTGATCCCGCACTTCCCGAATTCCAAAAAACCTATTTTTTGCGATTGAAATCTGAGAATCAGTCTTTGGAAGAGCAGTTGAGACAGAAGATTGCGTTGGAAAAAAAGTACAATGAAAGGGCAATGGAAAAGGATGAAGTTTTGGACGAACACAGTGAGTTTGAACACAAATTGAATGATCTTGTGGACGAAGTTCAGAAAAATAAAGAAGCCGTGTTGGTTCTGGCAAATAAACTGGAAAGGAAGTTGAATGTTGTTATGTGTTTCTTATTTGTGGTTGTACTGTTTGTTCTTCTTAGTTTGCTTGGAATTCATGGTCATGTTGAGGGTCCAAAAATGTTGATTTGAATGTTGTTTTCTTATGTTATGGTTGATGTATTGAACCTATGAATTAATGGAATCTATGTTTTTTCTGAATTTGTGGTTGTGTTGTTATTCTTATGTTGTCTTTTGTTTTTGTAGTATATATTGGCATTCATGAGATACAACTATGTTAAGTAAACTAAGATCATTGCAATATAAGTAAACTAAGATACAACAACAAATACCATAAGATAAAAACCATTGTTCATAACATAACCAAAAACTTCAATAGCATTGTTCACAACAATCTGCAAATCACTAACTTGTTTCAAAACATCACAAAAGATACAATTGTTCAGAACATAACAAAATACTCCAATACATAACCGGCAATCACTAACTACCAATCATCCTTTGCGAGAAACACTTTCTTGAGTACCTAAACCATCTCCAGTTCTCTTCCTCCCCATCTGACTTTTCCTCTTGCCTCTAGAGTTGCTAGAACTACTACCTCTCCCAGAAATGACATGAACCCTTTTTTCTGATGACAACTGTAATAATAATTCAGAATTAACAAAGGCTGATTTAAATATAAAAAAATAAGTCAATTAAGGTAAAATGACAAATATAGAAAAAGAAACATACCCTCATGTAGGTATTACCAGTCTCCTCAGACTGAAGGATACCAAACCCCTTTCTTGCCTAAAAAACAATTATAACAACACATCATTAGAGAGTTAACATGATAAAACATCAACATTTCAATAAAAATGCACTAAGATTACCATAGCTCTTTCCTTTTGAGTCAAAGATGACTGTTGGCTTGACTGCATTCTTGACATTGATGACTGCATTCTTGACACTGATGTAGTGCTTTCAACTGGCCCAACAATCTTCTTAGGCCTTCCCCTTGGATTCTGACAACAATAAAAAAATAAAAAAATAAAAAAAAATAAAAACTGAGATTAAAACATATATTATAGGATGAATAAACATCACTTTAGCTATAAATCTAACCTTAGCCTGTTTTTCAACTGGAGGATTAGAACAAGATTTTTTATTGTGCCCCTTTTTCAAACATCTCTGACAAGTCATAACCATCCCAAATCTCCTCAACTTAGTCCCAGAATTTATTTCTTCCTCAGCATCTCTTCTCCTTTTTTTCTTTGGCCTTCCTGGCATCCTTTTAAAAGGAGGGGGCAGAATAGCATAGCCTTGTGCAACTGGCCACAGTTTCTTTCCATTGATAGGTTGTAAAGACAGACTGTACATTTCTAAATACCTTTGAAGTGAGAAGTACTCAGACACAAATTCTACAGGATCCTTATGTTGGAAATGTATTGCAGAGCATGCATGAACACAAGGTATGCCTGTAATATCCCAAAATCTGCATGTACATGTGTTGTTCCTCAAGTTCACCACAAATTGATCATCATGATGCACAACCTCAAAAATTTCACCTACAGCTGGCTTTGTCAGACAATGCCTAGACATATACTTGTTGTGCTCCAGTTTTTTTCTTATTCTAGGGCAAATTGTATCTGTATGCCCACTAAGCTCTAACAGCTTGTCATGTTGCCTTCTCATTAACTCACTCCTTACAAACTCCAACATATCAATATTGTGTTTGCTTCTACCCTTAACAATAAGACCATTGAAAGTCTCACTCACATTATTCTCAATCATATCACATCTAGGCATTGGAGAAATATAGGCCTTACAAAATTTGGTAGGGTCTCTGTCAATGAAATCTTCCCAAGCATCTGGATCTTCAAGCTTCAAATCCTCCAAATTTATGTTGTAGTCACCCAAGTTAGTGCTGAGAATTGTCTTCCAAAAAATGCTTTTCAGTGCTTGCCCTTTGAAACTCTTCTTTCAATTCATATATACATGCCTTGCACAATTTCTGTGCTCAGCATGTGGGGCTAAATCCTTCAATGCATTTATAAGTCCCTGAAAAAGTACAACAACAATTGAAAAATAAAATTTAGATATGCAGAAGTTAAAAAAATCATATTGAAGGATTTCAATTTTGAACAAACTCAGATACATTATGACCTAATTTACAAATTCAGAAACTCAGCTATATGACCTAATTCAGAAATTGAGAAACTCAGCTATATGACCTAATTCAGATATTCAGAAACTCAGCTATATTACCTAATTCAGAAATTCAGAAACTTAGATATATTATGACCTAATTCACAAATTCATAAACTCAGCTATATTACCTAATTCACAAATTCAGAAACTCAAATGTCAGAATTTGAAAATTCATACATGTCAGAATTTGAAAATTCATACATGTCAGAGAGAAATTCAGAAATGCATATCCAAGACCATATCACATATAAACATGTTCAGAAATTTAGAAATTCGGCCATGTTAGAGAGAATACTTACCTTTTGTTGGTCTGACATAAATGTATATCCAAGCCCATCATTAATGCCAAGATCAGTGAACAAAATAGATAAAAACCACCTCCAACACTCCTCATTCTCTGTTTCAACAACTGCCCAAGCAACTGGGTATATCTGATTGTTGCCATCTTTTGATGTGGCACACAATAGAGCCCCCCCTAAGAAAGTCTTCAAAAAACACCCATCAAATCCTAAAATGGGTCTACAACCCCTAAGAAAACCCTTTCTCAGTGCACTGAATCCAATATAGAAAGCTCTGAATGTTGTTTCTTCACCAAGAAGAAACTCAAACCTTCCATCTCTGTCCACCCTCAACAGCTCTGCCATGTAACTCCTCAGAGAAGCATAATGCTCTGCTACTGAACCTCTAAGAATCTCAAGAGCTCTCCATTTTCCCCTGTACAACTTCCATTTTGTTGGTTGTACTGCATACTTCTCAGAAATCACTTCTTCCATCTGAGATATGGTCATGTTTGGATTCTTTCTCAACTTTTCAAGTAATTCCTCAGCAATCCATTCTGATGTCACCTGTCTGGTGTGCACATTTCTATGGCATTTGTGCTCTTTGTTCAACTGTTTGATTGCTACACTGCCCTCACTCATAACTGTACTAGCATACATGCTCCAAGGGCAACCATCAACACATCGGACCCTTAACTGTTTTTTGCTAGTTTTAGTAAACTTTATGTCCCTCCCTTGGAAAATTGCAACATTCCTGACTGCTCTTTTCAATTCCTCAGTGCTTACAAATCTCATCCCTAGCATAAATTCAAGAGTGCTATGATCACACTTAGGGTCATAAGTAACCCTTCTCTTTCTACCTATTAAGTTCCCCTCCTCATCTGTTTCCCATTCACTCTGAGATAGCAATGCAGAGTGTAAGTAGCCAGAATCTTCACTGTCCATCTCAATGGCCTTGCCTGAAGAAATGTTATCTGCACATTCTCCATCTTCTAATATCATCTTTTTATGTTTCTTCAAATTCTGCCTTGCCTCGAGATATTCATCATCATCAGAAACAAAGTCATCATCAGAAAGTTCATCATCAGATGAACTTTCTCCCATGGGAAAATAATCTGCATCATCACTATCATCCCCAGAGCTTTGAACTTCACACTCACCCACATTTGAATTAGGCAAGTGTGATTTTTTCCCCACTTCTACATGAACATCACAATTTTTTTGCCCCTCAACTTCTAAATCTACACCATTATGTTCCTCTGCCAAACTGAAGGATTCTATATATGTATCTATATCAAAAGGTTCCTCTAACATACCCTCATTTTCCACACTTGCATTATTCTTTTCTTTCTGGGCTTCTCCTTCCTTCTGTGCTTCTCCTGCAATCTTCTTCTTTTTCTGTGCTTCTCCTGCATTCTTCTCTTTCTGTGCTTCAACTCCTAAATCCACATCATTATGTGCTTCTTCTGCATTCTTTTTCCCATTGACTTCTTCCCCAACCACATAAATCTCTACCAATGATCTTCTTTGACTACTCTGTGTGATCATCTCCATAACAACACTATCATCTACTACATCTTTAAAGCAATCTTTTCCAGACTTCCCTGGAATTCTGTATAAAATTTTCTCAAACTTACCAACACCCAGCTTCTCAACTTCTTCTTGTAAGTCAAAATACCCAAATCTATCTGGATCTAAACCATGGACATTCTTGAAACTACCACCTATGTAGTCAACCACATTTTCGCAAGTGACGAAGTATCCTCCATAGTTGATAAAAATGGAAAATTTGCCACTGCAACGAAAAATTAAATACATAAATATCTATAAGAATCTGAAAATTTCTCACTGCAAAACATATCGTTTTTTAGTAAATTAACATATAAATATCCCAGAAAAATCGCATTTTCTAAATAAACCCTAATTTTTTTTTTCCAAAAATGTCTAATTTCTCCAAAAAAACCCTAATTTTACTCACAAATTCTAAAATTCGAGATAAATTGTAACTGAGTTCAAGCAGACAAGTAAAGAATATACCATGCTTAGAAAATCGCCAAACTAATTTCCCAGAAAATCGTCATTTCCCAAAAAACCCTAATTTCTCGAAATATCAAAAATTTCCCAAAAGAATCGTATTTTACCTCGGGAATTCGAGGCAGATTTACATTTCTAAACGAACCCTATATACATTTATTCTATAATTCCACTTGTTTTAGGAATAAAAATTCAAAAATCAAAAAATCGAAAAACCTGTCTTTCATTTCTCTGTCGAATGGAACTTTCGAACGCAGGAACTCAAACTCTCATGAAAATGAGACGACAACGCCGCGAAATCTTGGTGCAGAGATAATATTTCATATGTTAGGTTCGATTTTTTGGAGAGAAAAGTGCAGAGAGATTTTGAGGGATTCAAATTGGGGATCGATTTAGGGATTGGAAATTTGGGTGTTTGGGAGTGACGGGGACCCGTTTTTATACCCATGCCACGCAGAAATGAGAATTTTCCACCTAATTAACTTATATCCACGCAGCAAATGGGTAATTCCACGTCGACTTAAGCTGCCGGACACGCTGGCGGGTTTTGAAGCTCCGACCGATCTAAAGTCCATTTTGCAATAAGTAAACAAAGGTCAGTATTATATTGCATTTATCCAAAATTTGGGATAAAATCGCCAAACGCAAAAAGGTTGAGGTTTTTAAAGCAATTAACCCTTATTATTATTATTATTTGGTTTTAAGTTTACATAGCAATTTTTCTAGGAAATGTAATTTATTTATTTATTTACATCTAGAATTGTATGTTTTTATATTTATTTATCTCATAATTCTTTTTAAAAAAATGATAAAATGACTCAGAAGTACATAAATTAACAATTTGTATATTGATATTAATTTTTCGGTAGAATTTTGAATATTATTAAAAAAAATCAATTTTGATGACCCATGAATAGTGGCTCGAACAATTTTTTTCCAAAAGAAATAAAAAAGTTTCAAACTTGATAAATACTAAGAGTGTATTCAATTGAGATTTCAAGTGACATTTGAGACTTTTTAAGTTTTGAGATTTATTAAGATTTCCATATTTTGGAGAAATTCCATGAAATTCTAATAAGTCTGGAGGTTATATTTGAAATAGGATTTCGTATAAGATTTTTTGTTTAAAAATATCACCAAATCTTAAAAAGTCTTGACAAATCCTAATGTCAAATAAATTAAATACCTCATGATTTTGTAAGACTTTTTAGAATCCCAATTGAATACCTCATAATTTTAAAAATTTTAACGAATCTAAATTAAATACATCAAGATTAAAAAGTCATTGGAAATCCTAATTAAATATGTGAATTGAGTGGTAGATCTACTAATAAGATGGTATATGATTTGTTTTTTATTTTTTATTTTATTCATCTATATCTATATAAAAAGCCATCCTATTTACCAAAAATGGTAGCAAAAATATAGGTTAACATTTAATGCAACTTATAAATAGTAAGTGTCATTAATTTAATGTTATTTTATTTAAAAATCATACAACATTAAATGTTACCTTAAATTTCGGGTTTTAATTTTTATTATTTGAAAAATCTAGATAAGTTCTTTTAAGTGTGCATGTTGTTTTATTTTATTTTGTTTTTTTAGAAGCAAGGAACAACATTAAAATTCCGGTCTCTATATTTATAAAATTTCAATTCAAAATACAACATATGTTTTAGAATCTCGGTCTTTATATTTGTGTCTTTCAAACAAATATTGAACGCTAAAAATATTCTTTAAATTGATAATCAATCAATCAGTACTAATTTTTTGAAAATCACTATGTTTAATTTTATATTAATATGCATAATAAAAATAATTAATTCATCTTTAGATATATAATTTATATCTTAATATACTATCATTTAGTGTAGACATTTATTATATGGATCATAAAATATTTTTTTTTCATAAAATTAAATATATTTACAGGAAATAAGGAAATTTCTTGGATGAACCGGGTGATTGAATTAGGGTATTGCCCAGGTTGATTGAATTACATTTAGGTGATATTTAAAATATCGATCCTACCAGTCCAATCGACTGGTGTTGACGGATTCAATAGCAAATATTGTATTCAAACAAATTATATACAGGTTCTAAGTCCATTTGATCGGACTGTGTCCAATCCCGTTTAATTTGAACCAATGAGTAGATCATGATCGATGTTATTTATATATTAAATTTATAATATAATCGTAATATTGTTTTCTCGTGTATCGCACGGGCTACGCACTAGTACTAAGTAAGGGGAAAGAACAATTGGTACAATTTGTGGCTTTATGACGATTAAAAATATATATCGAAGGGACGATCATTGAAAGTTCTGCCAAGAATTTAATTATGAAAATACAAGTATCATACTTTCCTCACAGAAAAAAGAAAAAGAAGAAAAACTAGTGCAGAACTTCAATTTTATCGTAATTTATTAGAGATAAAATAATAAAAGAAAGAACACCAAAAAAGAAGATAAATCCACTCCCTTTGTGAAGTATCCCTTTTCCAAATCCCTAAAATCAAGAACAAGAAAGCAAAAAATGAGTGAAAGGCCGGTGCCAAGAAGGGAGAGCCCCTGGGGAGTGTCTGAGGGCTACCACCCCGAGCCCAAAGCCCACCGATGCAATGACCGAGCTGAAGATGTGATTTATGTAAGCATTTTTCGTTTTATCCTTTTTAACCCCAAAATCATGTTCTGTTTTTCATGGGTTTTGCTACATAATCTTGAGCGTATAAATGTATAATCGGCCATAAAAGGGTGTTTTACTAGCTGTTTGCATCTGGGCTTTGCAGGCTCAGTGAGTTTCTTGCTAGTATAATTGTAATGTTTACAAGAGAAAGTTGATGTCTTTAGGTGGAGTGGTATTATTCTGATCTGTAAAGATTGGATCTTTTTTTGGGGTTATATAGTATATATGGAAGAATAGGGCTTAGAGAGTTTTGAGTAACTTTTTTTTAAATAATAGGGCGGTGTCGAAAACTAGTATAAGGAATTGTGATTTTGATGTGGACGAGTTTCTCCATCTGTATTTGAAAGTGCTGCTAATGAGATAATATGGAGAGATAACAATTTAGCAGCTTGAATCGTTTCCTCTTCACTGTGTAGTGAGCGCCTTCACATGATTTTAAGATTTTTCTGATATAAAAGGTTGCTTTCAAATAACTAGCTACTTGAGGAGAATTTAATGTGAACCATCTTAAGAGAACTAGAATTTTCTGTTTTCCCTGGGTTTTGCTACATAATTTTGGAGAGTCCAAGACAAAATCTTAGCCGGAAAAAGGGCTTTTACTGCTTGTACAATTGTGCTATGTGAATGGTCCCTATTAGTTGTACTTGTTACAAGAGAAGTTGATGTCTTTAGGTGGAGTGGTATTATTGTGGTCGATAAAGATTGAATCTTTTCGGCGGTACATTGTATAAATGGGACAGGGCTTAGAGAGTTTCGAATCAGTTGTTTGGATTAATAGGGCGATGTCAAAAATTAGTATTGGGAGTGTGTTTGTGATGTGGGTGAGTTTCTCCATCTGTTTTTGAAAGTTGCTGATATGAAATAATATGGAGAAATAGTATTTTTTATATTATTTTTATACCTTTTAATTTTTTATTTTCTTTACAATTCGCTATATTACAAAAAACAATTAAATAAAAATGAATAAATAAAAATAAATGATGGGGAAGAAATACGAAGTATCCCAAACGCTGTCGTTCTCGTACAATGATATAATCCACTCTCTCTCCTTCGCGGGGTTTAGGGTTTTAGCGTTATCATTTCTTCTTATTAATCTGATCAAAAATGGAAGCGCCAGAAAAACAAGAGGAGCCAGTCCAGAACATAAGTGTATATATATGATTCACCGTGAATTTCATATCGATAAATTGGGAATTTTCAGCTCATTTTGGACTTTTTAATAGTGTGAGTTGGTGATTGGTTTTTTGTGATATGAAAATGTGCAAAAAATTTGATTCGTGTAGTATGATTAATTGGCTGTAGGTGTTGTTTTTCATTGTTCCTAGCCAAAAAAAATAAATAAAAAATCCAATGCTCCCATTTTTGTGATTGAAAGTGCAGAAAGGATATATAATCTGGAAAATGAATACATATAAACATTTTGGTGATGATAAAGAGTGGTACCATGTTTTCTTACTTGTCCAAAGTCGATTAATTTACGATATATGTGTGGTATTGATAGGTTAATGTTGTCGTCTGTGCAGAGAGCCAAAAAATTGGCCGGCACAGTGAACTGGGATACGGCAACTGTGGTTGGAGTATTTGCTGGCATGCTATATGGAGGTAGCAAAGAAGCCTCTGCATCTGTTGTAAGTATGGAATCCCTTCACGGGTATTGTCAAGTAGATTTTTTCTTTTTTTTTCTTCTCATTTTCTCTATTTTTGTGGACCTTATGTTTGAATGTTATGGTATTTGGCATGCAACAAATTTATGTTAATAGTTGAATGATTCATTGAGTGTTCGAACAAAAAATCAGGCTGGTACTCGGTATGTTCTGAAGCCACTAATTTTCTTGGTTGGGTAAGTCCATGCTGGTTGAAATAATTTAACTATAAAAATGAAGAAATTGAGTTTGGTGAAAGATGTTTTATAGTGGTCAACATCTGCAAGTTGGTGGGTGAACTGATTCATTACTGGTTGGTTGTTCGAGACTTCGAGTCGATATAAAAGGCATGGGCCCCAATTCTGTGTACAAGCAGATACAATTCTGAGTTTTACCTGTGGCTCTCTTTGGCGATTATTGGAGTTGAAAGCTCTAATGCCAAAAGTTGGTTTGTGATAATTGCTACGATGGTCTTCCCATTTGATTCACATTATTTTTCCATATAAACCTTTTTAGCTACTGTTTGGAAGGTTTTCCCTTTAATCATTCCAAGTTCAGCTACAGATAAAACTTTATCTAATAAACAAATGGAACTTAATTTTTAAAATCCAACCGACACTGTGCATAATAATCTAGTTTAAGGTTTGCTCATAGCCTATAGTTTATTTCTTAACGACGTAATCGATAGTTGAGATTTTCGTGCATGATTTTTTAATTTTCAAAAGCTTGAACAGGACTTTGTTGAAGGAGTTTGCATCTTTATTACAGACCAAGGATGCAGAGGTAATGTTGAAGCTTGGAAGCACTCCTGAAAAGTGTGAGCAGTATCGACTTATGAGGGATGCAATGGAGAAGAGATTTATCCGAGTCGCTCGTGGTTCAATAGTTGGTGGGATCCGCTTAGGGATGTTTACTGCTGCATTTTATGGTGTGCAAAACTTGCTTGCTGAAGAAAGAGGCGTGCAGGATGTTTTTAATGTGGTTGGAGCCGGTTCCACGACAGCTGCTACATTTGGTTTAATCAGTGAGTACACAAATTTTATCGAGGTGGTAATCTTGTACTGCTTTTCTTCTTTAAGGGAAAGTAATAATTATTTTTCTTTCACTTTTTTTTTTTGATGATAACAGTGCCTGGTTCACTTCGTTGGCGTGCAAGGAATGCGATTTTGGGTTCCGTTTTGGGTGCAACGATCTGCTTCCCTTTTGGTAAAAATTAATTTAATTTGGCAGCCGTATACCATTAGAATTTTTTTAGAAATTTATTGCCTTTTTTTTTTTTTTCTGTGTGTCATGTTTCTTTAAGTAAGGCCAGTGTTTATTGTGCTTAATGGACCTATTGTATGCAATCACGGTTTTTTGTAAGCTTTTCAGTGACTTCGCAAGTGTTCACTTAATATTGACATAATGCTTGTAAGATATGTTGTGCTTAACTTTTTCCCAAGAAAGTGGTCAGTCGATTCTTATATTTTGAGAATAAGTTGATAACTTTTCTGTTGGCTGATTTCAGTTGATGTTTTGATGCTTTATGAAATCAGAATTGATTATGACACGTTTTCACCCGCATCCTTACCTTCATTAATATTTTGAACTTATTCTTTCATTTATTTATTTAGTTATGAAATGTCTGGCCAGTAAACTCAAGCATTTCTTAACGGTTCCTATTGTTAACCTTTTACCTTCTTTCTGAAAAGACAAGGTATGATCTCTGTTGAGTAAAGTTTAAGATTACAAACAGAAAGGAAACGTAGACCAGGACCAAACAACTGCATGTAGGACCCTGCAATTCAAGGAAATTACGAACAGTGGACTAATAGTTTTCACCATTTTTTCAGGTTGGCTTCATTTGAAGCTTGTAGAGAAAGCAAATGAAGGGACACCACCTACTGATACCGAAGGCGGTAAAAATCTGGAAGCAAAGAGTGGAGTTTAACGAATAGGACTCCGCAGCATTGTAATAAGTTAATAACTTGATCACATGCAGTCCCAATATTTAGCATCACTTTGCGAAACTTGAAGAAGACTGGTGACCTCGAGCATGCTTGCCTATGTCTTTTTATTAGAGAGTGGGGTTTCGTTTTGACCATGCCTATCGTTTTTGTTCCGTGAAGTGAAGAATAGAAAGATTGGTTTTATATGTGTGATTTAATAATGGGAAACTATAGAGTTGATCTGTCTGTGCACAATGTCATTGAAGATTTGAGATTATAACTTGTAAGAATGGATGTTGATGCTAAAGTGGCATCCTCGTTGTTATGGGTTTTTTCACCATTATTGGAAGCTTATATATTATTTTGTTCCTATTTTACCCTCTCCTCTACTCTCTGGTCATTTTTGCCTTCTCTATCTGTGCAGCCTCCCCATAGCTGAATCGAAAAACGTGCTTCCATCTTCCCGAGGTCAGTAAAATCTAACTTCTCCTCTTGACCAAGTTACACCACTTTTCGATAAACTCCGAATCATCTGGATCAGTCCTGGTCTGGTCTCTCTATGCTGTTGAATAACACGAAGAATCTCTCTAGTTTCCCCTAGCAACAAAGTCGTCTTACGTACAATTCTCTCTTTCTCCTTTATTGCCTTACGCTGACACTTCTCGATTATCACACGCATCAAATTCATGAGGCAAGCTGCCATTATATTCGCAATCATGTTGTAAATCTGATCGAACAACCCCTCGTCTGCCTTCAGATAATCCCCCTTGTAAGCGGGCACCCATTATCTTTTTCTCACGTGGGGTGGATGATTTTGGGCAGTGGGCCTTGAGAAACTTAACAGTATATCAATGGCGATAATATTGTTTTTTTTTTTTTTTT